TACAATCTAGCAAGGAGCCTTTTGTAAAAGCATTTGGTATTGATTTTGTTTTGGGGTGTGTTACAGCCAATTTTGGTAAATTATAAAATCATTATGATTTTTTGGAATCTAAGGTAATTTTACAGAGTAGTGCTTGGATTCATTGGAAAATGTGGAGTATTTTGTGTTTGGTTGGAGAAATTAATTTTTTGGTTATTGTTGAAGAAACCAGTTCATTCCTTGGTGGAATTCGTATCAAGGTGGAGATTGTTAGAATTTGGGTGTGACCCGAATTTCTTGTTAAAGTAATTAAATAATTTTAATTAAAGTGCACGTCATGAAGAATTCAAATTTGGAATATTATTGGAGTCCTATGTCATGTTGAAGTTATATTTTGGAAGCCCAATGGAAGTTGAAATTTATTTTGGACTCAATTTTATGGTATCATATTTCATCAACAACTCTACTAGGTGGGTTTGAACATCCCCTACTTATTCCCTATAAATACTAGGCTCCTCTATACAATTTTATAATGTGAAGTGTGAACAATAGATTACCAGAATTATAGGATTCATTGTAATTTTCCCTCTTCTCCATTATTCTTAAGTCAATAAAATCTTTTAATTACTCTACCATATTCTTGTCTTCTTTATTCTTTTGCTTGATCAAATACTTCATTATTATTTGCCATATAATTTCAACATCTCAATCCGATGGTTTGTTCCACAACAATTGGTATCAGAGCTATTCTGGTATCTTGATTGTTTTGCAACATCTGCAAATGCCATCCAGATAGATATATGAACTTTGATCCAACTGAAACACATCATTCATCTCTTGTGATTAAGATGCTAAGATTAAACAACATGCTATGCACTTTATTTGCCCTGTTTAAAAGATTTAAAATTTATTTTATACGAAAAAGAAAAATATTTGCTGAGCTTCTTTCCCTAATGGTTGCCAATGCTGCAAGTAAAATCACAAGACAGAAACAAGTGGAGCTGTTTTACATTAAAAAGCAACATATAGAAAGTAAAAGTTCTAAAATTTCGGTTTCTTTTAACTCTTGCGAGTATAAGTACTGATTTGATTTTGATAGTTGAAATTTAGGAGCTGAAGTGCCAGAGTTGATGCTTTGAGATCGCAATTATGAAGCTAATCCATTCGTGAAAACAAACTTTGGGCATTGCTCATGCTTGTATTCGTTAAAAGCAACTCAAGATATAAAAAAGTATCTGGGAAAGTATCAATATTTTCTACTTGCAAGGCGTAAAACTCTTATTTATTCACCTTCCTGATCACATCGGACGGCTATTAACATGATATGCGTTATCTAGCCAAGTAAAACATGATGGTAATGTGAAACCTCGTACTATTTCCATCAGGTTTACATTGATGGTGTGAAGAAAACTTTTTTCTGAAGTTTTCGTTGATTATCATTTCACAGAGAAATCACAAAAAACCAGAATAATATACAAGCAAGATAATTTTCTCTGGTGCTTCACCAATTTCGCAATGCGCAGTTCTATGAACCGTTCAATTACAAAAAAAATCGAAGCAAGTATTAGTACATTGATGCTAGAACACTATTAGTCAAGCTGGGCATACCAAACTCCTTGGATTTTCACATCCTTGGGGGCTTTTGACCCCAAATCAGTATCAGATGGCTGAATGCTTTCAAATACACCAATCGCCTCCCCAGTCTCGGGCTTGGTTTTGGTAACACTCAAGGTGATCTTTCCTGTTGAAGATGAAACATTCTTTACGTTTTCTTTCTCAAGCTCCTCCTCGTCTCCTCTTCCACCAGCTGGCAATGCAACTGCATTGTCATAACCAGTAGATCCACCCCTTCCCTTTGGGTCGAGGAAGGATGAACCCCTGTATGATGGCACAAGGAAGTCTCCACTGAAGCTATCCGGTTTGCCAGATGCTACAAGCTGTTTGATGGTGAAGAGGAAGGGCACACGCTCACCACCAGGAAGCTGCACTGTAACGGCAGCATAGTCAATTCCATCCTTCTCCTCAAACTTGATAGTGCCATCCGGAGATACCTCAAAGGGTCCCTCAATCTCGTCAAGAGTGTAGGTTAAACGGGTCATGAGTTTTGTCTTCTGGAATTCAGCCGGTGAGTTCTTGTTCACACCCTCTGCCTTCACAGTAAAGGAAGTGGGTTCCAGGCAGAACTTCTTGGCATTGTACTTGCCTGGCTTGAAGGCAAAGCTGTCGACACCGCCATCAATTGTGGGGCACTGGTTAGCAGTCCCAGTTCCCTTCACTTCTAGGTATGTCTTGCTTTGAATTTCATCGTAGGTTAGCCGTTTGGGAACTCCTTCAGCATTTGCTCCCTGTAAGACCAACAAGGGTATTTTAAAACTTTCCCAATTGCAATGACAATATATTCATTGATGTCTGCCTAAATCACAATGTTGTGCATCGAAATATTTTCTTACACTTCACTAAAATTTTCAGAAGAAACATGGTGTTGACAAGCTTATCACTGATTGAAATAAGCGAGAGATGCAATAGAATTTGCTTGAGGCCCCCATTACAAAAATGTTCTCTCTTCTTGTAGTATTATAGATCATCAGCACAATAGAAAAACTTTTACCTGGTTTTAATTTGTTAAATTCTCAGATGTCCAATGGAATACAGTTCTTCTTTGGTCGAGAGTGACAGTCACAAATCATTGCTGGCCACTGTATTATGCGTCAATACAAGTTTTCTTAAATTATTATCGGTATAATCCAGTTGAAGTAACAATGTGTTCTAAATTCTAAGATTTTCATATCGCACACTAATCGGGTTACTTGCTATTTCACCAACGTATATAAGAAAGACGAGGTATACTTGATTCAATTTGCCAGATACCCAGAGAACCGATAGATTTTTAACTAGTTGAGTTAACATTATGATGCTAAGTTTTCAACTGTCATAATTAGCTATCCCGTTAATGGAAATAGCCTTAATAATTCAAAATGCAGACCTTGCACTTACTGACTTCATTTTGGTGTTGCAAAAGAAGTCAGTTGATATTATGTGCATCTATCTTTTAAATGTACACAATATAATAGACATTCCAAGGTCACCTCATCAAACATGCCATTAATGTGTTAGAAAGATCTTTGTAAGGTACAGATATAAGAATCTCAGAGAGAGACTCAAAGTTACATACCGAGATGGCGAGTGCAGAAGTGGCAAGAGCAAAACCAGCAATCTTGGCAGCATCAGTGCACTTTTGAGCCAAGTCCTTTAGATCAGCTTGAAGAGAGCAGGTGACCCTCGATCCAGCCGGTTCAACACCGAAGGCCTTGCCAAGTCTTTGAACGGACCTCAACTGCAGGCTGTTTCTGGCTGAGACACCAATCTTGGTTGGTTGCATCAGAGTAGCAGCTGCTTGTAATGAGGTAGCCATTTTGTTTTCTGATTACTATCTTACTCTGTGCCTATGCTTCTCCTTATTACAAAATAGAAGTAGTAATCAGAATGGTTTGTATGGACAAATAAATTTAGTGGCTTAGATTTATGTAGGATAAGAGATGGGATAAGGGTAGTTGCTATGAGTTAGTGTCTCTGGCTTTCTGACTTGCCACGTGGCAATCTTGCTATTCTGGATAAAGATATTCACTTGTGCTATCTGGTCAGGACATTGATGGACAGCTACTTGCAATCATAGTGGAAAAAATAAATAAATCAAAGAAAAAGAAAAGGAGGGTTGATTCCATTTGAGTAATGCACCAAGATGCATTGATATGTGGTCAAGATTCCTTGTTCTAAATCTTTGGTATCATTTGCTTGACAATCTCTAGGCCTCATAGAGTTGAATTTTTCTACTGATCAGTTCTTTTTATAAATAATCACATCGATTATTATTCCGATAACAAGTAGTCCAAGAAACTCAAATATCTTATTTGTCATTACTTAGCGACTAACTCCTATATTTCTTCATTTAGGGTAACCCTAAACAAGAATTAGAATCTCTATTCATCCAGGTATTTGTGCTTTGTTTCGAAGTTCTTATAAGGGGTATCGAGAGTATTTTTTTTTTATAGAACTTTTTGGAGATAATAAGTTGTGCCTCCTACACAATGTGAATAAAAAATGAATAAAAGTTGAATGTCTTACAAAATGTGTGAATAAAAATGATTTTTTACTAGCTTATAAGTTTGAGAGAATTATGGCAAATAGGCACTAAAGAATGTACATTTTAAATCATTCCTGGACTTGAATTTGAAATTCCATCTTGAAGAACTTGTTGCAAATATATCCCTCCTATCACCAACAACCTCATTTTGGGATATTGCTGTCCATGGATTGCTTGTGAGTAGCAGGAGATATACGAGGAAATACCCCAATTCATGCCATCAGTGTAGCGTGCATTCAAGAGAGGACATCAAATTCCCCGAAATTACTTGATGAAATTGAAAGAAATCTTAATACGCGAAATCACTTCAATAAGCTTCTTGAGAATAACAAGTGAAAGTCACATCGAATGAATATTTTGGCTACATTCAGTTTTACAACCCAAGGAACCAACAAATAGGAAAAAATCAAAATACTTCTACTAAAATATTCAGACAGCACGGACTACCAGAGACCAAATGGGATACACCAACAAGAGGATAATGCCAACTGTGTTTGAGATGCCGTGGCTTTGCGTGAAGGAGTTGCGGAATCCACCAGACGCTCTGATGTGTTCTTGCAGCAGATAACAACCAATGGCAAGGCATATTGCGACGCCAACCCAGCTGTCTCTCATGGAGTGAGCAAAGAAATTTGGAGAAACAACCAAAAGAAGAATCAACGAACCAGGCATCTCCAGCCAGTCTGGAATATCAGGGACAGTTATTTATACGATGCTTAACCATTTGAACAATAATAGATGGACAGAGTCACATACATCATTTACAAATACAACCTCAATTTTACCTGGAAAATGTCGGGGGAAGAAAAGCCTCAATACAACTGCAATGAAAGCAATCCATTTTCCAACCTCACCCCTACACCACAATGCCAATTACTTGCTAAGAAAATTGATTTCTGTCGAAAGAAACAAGTAGAACGTCCAGGTAGAGACCATTACCTTAACAAGTGGAACAACCCCGAAGGAAAACTTAAGAAAATATAAGGAACCAGAAGTGAAGTCAACATGTTTGTTCTCCAATTCGTTCGATCCAGGATCAACAAATAACTGCAGATCCATTCAGGATGTTAACATGATAGAAATTGACTTGTTCATATCATTGAGAATGAATCTACTTGCACAAATATCGTTACTGGAAACAGTGTGTGATATTATCCTAGATTGAGTTACATTGGAAATCATCAATGTGCTTTGCCAGTTTCCTTAAAAGACATCAAAAGAATATGAAGCATGAATTGACAACAATTCACTTTACAGTTTCGATCAGCAACTAGAACATAAAAACATCAAGCAATTCAGTAATTCTCGTCAAACCCACAATCATAATAACATCAGAAGAACCTAGACTGTCGAAATCAACAAGTATGCCATCAAGCAAATCAATGAAGTAAGATTTGACAAAAATGGTGAGAAAGATGAGATAAAACACTGACATGGCAGCAAAAGAGGCAACCCATTTGAGTAAAGAAGTGCCAAAGCCAAGGCCACCCAATTTGGTAGCATGATCAATGAGTTTCTTGGCAGCCATCTTGAGTTCATTGAAATCTGAATTAAGCAATTCCGCTGTTTCTTGATCGGTCTTCATATTCAAATAGTCGATTCTCCCCATTGTTACTTTTCAGATCTGAATCAAAACTCAAAAAATCAAACTATGTATATGAGCGTTATTCTATGAATACAATGTTTTTAAAGGCTTTCGTAAATAGTAAGGTATGGTTAGAACAAGACAAGTGGAGTAGCTGCGGAAAACAGTGCGAATTTACGGATCCAACGACTTGTTTACTTGAGTAGCGGGATTATTTCTCATCGTGCATGATGTATCGTGTGAATGACATAAAATTTAGGGAAATTTGAATAATTAATTTTTATTTTTTGGTCAAAACAAAATTGTACTCATAAAATTTTTATAGTATATATTATCACTCAGTCATACAAAATAATAAAGTAACATTCTATTAAAAACAAGAAAAATTAGGTATATTTTCAGAAGTTGAAAAATATTTTCAATCGAAAAAAATAGTAATTAAACACTCCAAAATAAGAATTTGGATAGAAAAATGACATTTTTCATGAAAAATAAATGCAATCAAACACACTCTAAAGGGTTTGTGATCAAAGATTAAACAAAATTATTAGGGTTATTAGCAAAATTAATGACGATACAAAAATTTAAGATTCTCAAACATCAGATTTTGGTTTGGGGATTGGTTTTTGGATTCTGACAGAAAATTATCAAAATGATTTCAATAATAAGTTTTCAAAACGCAATTTGCCTTGCACGATTTAGCCTAGCTGGCTTCATTTGACTGTGCATAATTGGCCACGCATGAGTTTCGCAGGCGTGTTAAGTTGGTGAAACAAAATAAGGTGGAATTAAATTACATTGAAAAATAACTCATATTAAAAATGGAACAACTGCAGCGCTACATAGGTAGAAGGGGATGGATGCCCTTGAAACAAAGAAGACGACCATGGCACCATTCAATTGTTAGGTTGTTGACATGTTTTGCATGACCAAAACGCACAACTTATCCACAAATTTATAGGTTAAGTCATATCATAGAACATGTTGACACTTGGCTCTTTGTTGAATTGAAAGTTTGGTGTTATGCTTGCTTTAATTTGTGGATGATGTAACTTTCAATTCCTAAGTAGTGAGCAAAAATCAACGTAAACCGCTCCAATCGAACAACCTAACCCGACCTGTTTGAGTTGGTTTTTAAGTTCAATTGGGTTGGGTTGGAAAATCAAATTTGAGATCGGGTTGGGTTAGGTCTCCGGTTATAAATTAAAACTTAATTCAACTCAACCCAACACAATCTAACACGATGAATTAAAAAATTTAATACCTAAAATGGAAAAATTTTAATAGACACAATAGTGGAGACAAGTGAATGATTTAGAATGTACAAATGTCCCCCTTTTTTAGTATGAATACTATGTACGTACAAATGCAAAATATTTTGACGACAAACTAAAAATTAAGGACGTGATAATGAAATAAATAAATCCCAAAAAAAATTATAAAAAGAAAATGCTCTATAGTTTCAAACTTATTTATGAATTAATTTTCAGAAAGAATTTCTTATATAGGTTTAAAAAAAAAGTTAAAAATTGTTAATATTCAACAAAAAAAATCACTTAATCCACCTTACATTGGACCCAAGCCTGAACCAACCAACCCAAATTTGATCGATTTGGGTTGGATTTAAACTAATAATTAGATAGAGATAGGTTGATTTGATTTTAGATCAAACTCACCATGTTGAGTTGGATAAAAAAAACCCATATATGCCCTCGGGGCACAGCTAAACTGGTGGAATAATCAGCACATAACTCGCTTTCAGCGGCAGGGTAGGGGTTCGAATTCTGGTGGGAACCTGCGGCCCGATTTATTTGGTATGGAGCAATCACTTTGGAGGATGATCCCTTGTACGCATAAGTGTACAATTGGTGAGGGAACTTGGGAACCAGTTGAGGCATATTTCGCGATTTACCTCCTCCAAGATTCTAAGGGCAAGGGTCTTGGAGATCTAGGATTTAGTCTGACAAAACTGGGACACCACCTGGGTATCCAAAAAAAAAAAAAAAACCAGTTAGTACTAGGTAGCCATGAATTGTCTTTAGTACACAAAAAATGTGCAGACAGGCAGAACTCCACTTATACGTAACTATGGGATATTTTAGCTTAATTACATTAATCCCCAATTAATTAATGCTAAGTAATATTACACAAATAATGTTATGTAGCTTCATCGGAGTTGTAACCTCTGTTTAGATAACGTTAGATGATAGGTTAAATATGGGTGAAATTAATTGAGTCATTTATTCGCATCAACGACAGCTAAATTGAGATTGCAAATTCAGTAGGGTTAAATAATATTACTTATATTACACTCCTATACAACATTTTGTTTTGCCATTTGATAATTCCTTCTTGCCTTCTACTTCTCAAATGCAATATTTATTTATTTTTGCTTAATGGAAACACAACAATCACTATAGGGTTATTATAAAGTGCATGTTTAGAAAGTAATTATAGTTTGTTTAAACTATAAATGTATAAAAATGAGTCGTGGACAAGTGAGAGTACTTATGGATCTCGCGTAATATGTGAATGAAAAATAGATTTGATTAATTATAAACAATATCAAACAAGCATCAATAAAGGTGCTGGGACGTGCAGTCCCAACGGAGGTTTTTTAAATTTCTTTTATTTTCAAAATAAACTAAACAAGTTGTCGGTGAGCCCATGAAATAGCTCGAATTTCAGATTATTCACTTGCTATAACTACTCATGCTATGGATGTGGGAGCATCAACGTGAACGTAGGGTTTTGAGGAGAGAGAAAGATTGGAGTGCTGATTAAGCGATATCATGTCTCAAGAAATTTGTACTTCAAATTTCCTTTTCTTGTTTGACAAGTACGAGAAAATCGAGATTAGGTTCACTTTGCTTCTCGACAAGATATGTTAGGGCTTCATTATATTATCAATCTTATCAGAGTATGTATGTAAATAAGTCTTTGACGGGAATTGAATCAGACAATCCCTATATTTTTTGTACTTAGAAGTGCATGTAATCTGAGTTTACGAGGAAAAATTCATCCATTTGCATAGTGGCCCCCAAATTTACACAAACGCAATCAAATGTTTGTTTTAGGTTTTTTAATTTATAAGTGCAGTTAGCCAGTTACTTTACAGTATTCAAAATAAATTAAATCTTTCAATTTCATAAATGAAAATATTCAATTGAAAAAAGAAAAAGAAAATCCATAATGAAGTATTCACACCACCGAGTAGACAAATACCGGAGAAACTTTTGGCCTATTGATGGTGGCGGTGGCTGCGGCCTTTTCTGGCCTCATTCACCGCCGGTTCATGCGAGTCACACACTTGGGTTTTGAATTTGCACCCGAACTTCCGTGTGAGCGAGTTCCTCCAACCAACTATCTCCACGTGTCCACCAGGTTCCATTTTGTCAATTTTCTCAATAGCTTTTCTCATGGTGGAGCACTCACGCTCCAATTCGTGCACCCGCGTCCGCATGCTATCCATATCGAGGCGCAGCACCTGATTCTCCCTCACGGCCGCCCTCCACGTGCTTCCCCCCTCTTGCGCGCGTGCCACCACAACCGCTTCCTCTTCCTCTCCTCCTCCGTGGTCCGCCTCCAGCAAACCCCCGGCGATGGCGTGCCGAATCTGAAGCTGCTCGAAAAAGAGCACCTGAACCACCGCTCTAAGCGGAAGCCGCTCGTTTCGGGCGGCGTGAGTACATGCCTCTAATGTTAGTTTCTGGCAATCCAAAACCCCGCAAATCTTCTCTCTATCTGCCTCTGGTATCCATGGATGTGCCTATGTAAATGCTCAACAGAATATAATTTATAGATTCAATATTCCGTTATCAATATAAAGCACGTATATCTTAATATAATGTTAAATGATTGATGAATTTACCTTGAGATAAACATCAACAGCGCGATAAAGGCCGTCATCGAAGAGTCTGGCATGGTCAGGCAAAGCAATGGCGAGATCGAAGAATTTTTCTTGCTTCAAATTAGCATCAGATGCGATTTCCGATAAGTAACCGTCAATTAATTTTCCAACTAACATCAATGCTATAGATCTTTCTTCGCCTTCAATTCTGTTCACAGATCTGTTATCTAATTCTTCAAGGAAATATCTCAAAATTCTTTCCACACAATCAACATCGTATAATGTTTCATTCAAATATGAATAGCTCGGAATGAGCAGATCGTCTAAAGTCGCTTGCTCTAATTGTGATCCAATTTTCTTCTCCAGTGCTGCTCTACAAGCTTCCGAAGCATTCAATATATTGGCAGTCCGTAATAACCCAAATAAAAATCTAGTCGAATTCGAAGTTGAATTCGAGCTTTTTTCTACAGGGAGATTAGCAATTACGATTTCCAGAAGCTCTCTCTGGTCATTCTCCGAGGGTACATTAGAAGAAGACGATAGCTTCCTTTTTGTACGCGAAATACCAGGAATGTACTTCTTGGCATAGTGAATCAAACAGCTCTCTATGATCTCCCCATTTAGATTTAGAGCTTTCATGGCGAAAATCAATCTTTTGAAGAATGGCAAACTCAATAGTCCAAGCTCATTTAACCATGAATCCATTCCATTTCCTCCTCTAGTAGCATTAGCAACTTTTCTCCTTTCATTCTCGACTCCATCCTCGTTGTTTCTAGCTCCGTCATTCACCGGCCATCCAAACAATGAAGGATCTGAAGAAGTAGCTTTGGAAACAATTGCATCAATACATCTCAGAACAATTCCCAGATTTTCTGCCAAAGGCAGAAGCCCTTCACAGGAGGTTAAAGTTTTGATACAGTGTTTGATATTTTTAAGTACTGAGTGAGTAAGAAATCTCTCTGTCTTTGAAATGAGGTTCTCTTCAGAGTACTCTTCAGTCATTTCCAAGTATTCTCCGGCGCAGCGGAGGGCGGCCACATTGGAGGCGGAGATATCAATTTTTACACCGTAACAAAATTTCGCGGCGGTCTCGAAGGATTCAGAGCCGCCCGGAAAATCCGGGAGTGTGATGAGACAATCCTCTTCTTCTTCTTGGATTTCTTCCTCCTCACGG